AAGTCAATGGATGGATGGGAGGAAGCTTTTCTCTGATAATAGTGTATACATTTCACTGATTATTTCACATGACTTTCATGTCATAAAAGTCTACAGATCAGTATTTGAGACAGATATAAGATGATTTCACTGTCACAGGTTTAGCAGCTGCTGATAGCATTTTCAAAAGGAAACTAAATGAGCAAATAATTTGCAATGGCCTTCAACCAGTTTGGCACTTGGAGGCTGCCTGGTAGTCGCCTTGCATTTATTGCTCCTGATTTATTTTAAAAAATGTAATAAGAAAGAAGCATCACAACAAAACTGAGTTAATTGAGACTGTGTGTAAAATAAAATTCCACATCCCTGAAAGGATTTGTTAATTGGGCCTGTAGAGAGAAAGCAAAAGAGTAAATTCAGAAGGAATTGCTGATAATTAGATGGAGGTAGTTCTTTCCATGTTTAAACCACCAAAGCAATCAGAGTCACTTTCAGTAATCCTGCATTTCTATAACTCCAAACGTAATAAAAAATGATCCGAACTGAGCAGAGGCTGACGTATCTTGACTTTTACGTCTGGATCCTACAATTCCCATAATGCAGCTCCCTGCTATAATTTTGTTAGACCTGATGAATGACCACAGCTCCCGCTCTCATACACACACGGTTTTATTGCAGGCTCAACTGAGATTTCAGACATGCCCTGAAGTCATAGAAAGATATTACAGAACCCTTTTCAGAGTCTGAGAGTCAAACAAGAAAAGTGCTCATTGTGTAAAATCATTTTTAGACAAGAAATACCCAACATTTACTACCTCGTCTATCTATCACTGTATATAGTGATGGATGGGCTGCACGCACGTTGCTTAGGGATTCTGTTGCCTGTGCACTGAATGACTGGCATTAATTTATTCATAACATGATTAAAAAGTAAAAAAGACACGAGGAATGCACAGAAATGTGGGCAGATTATAGCTCTCATTATATCATTAGATCTGTTCAGGGTTTGGGATGGATTATTGCTCATTTTAATGTCATTTTCATGTTTGGGACATCCAAATGGGAAATTCTGGATTGATTGTAATTTTAAAATGCATACAAGAGATTTCATCTAAGAGGTTAATGTGCTTTTTTCCCCTCTTTTAGCACGTATGCCACCATTTATACTACAAGAAACTAGAGATGGCACGATACCACTTTTTTATGTCCGATACCA